ACTTAACATTATCATCATATCTAATATTTTATTAAAATCAATACAAACTATTATATTTATATTTATCTTTATATTATTACCATTTAACATGTTACAGGATTAATTCATTTTGATCATTAAATATAATATTTCTTTAATAAAACTAATAAACTCAAAATAAACCATAAAATTTATTATTTGATAAATATACAAAATACAAATCAACTTTTTAATATAAACCTTATTATATTACTTAAAATATATATAAATAATTACTGAATAATGCAATAATTATATTATAACTCACTAACAATACCAAATTACCCTAGTTATTCAATTCAAATTATTTATACAGGGTAATCTAAACATGAAAAAAATTTTTTAATTAGCTCGATAATATCAATTAATACTTGATTGACCTTTATATTTTGAATAAGTTTTATTTGAAAGTTGCAAAGAGAATGATTTAAAGTGCACGAATTGATTGTTGCCGACCAGACTGATAAATTTAGGAATTTTTAAATTTTTAAGAACGTTATCTTCTGATAAAATCACAACTTTAGATGTCTGACTATAAAATAATTTCATAATAAAAGTGTATAAATTTTCAATATCCCACAACTAGGGATGGCACGTGATTTAAAACAAGATGTTTTAAAACAATTTAAATCAGATTTTTATTGTTTTAAAACTTTTTTTTTGTTTTAAAACATTGGTCGGATTATTGCGTAATTATTTTTTAATGACCTTTTTTGTATTTTTAAGCAGCCTTTTTTTAAAATTATTCTCGTGGAAGACCATCATCAGAAGACATCAGTAAGCACTTTGAAAAGTTACGAAAAACACCTCGTCAAAAGTGTGTAATTATTGTGGAAATGACATTAGTTATTGATTAAATTGATCGATTAGAAGATTTAAAATTAACATATATAATTTTTTTTTTTAAGAGTTAGCGTACATTTTATTTAACGAATAGTAGTATCACTAAGCTATTACAAAATAAAATTCCCAACAAGGTCGGTCCGGCTATACTCTAAATATATATTATATAATAAAGTGCTTAAATTTTTATTGCAAATATGTATTACGTAGTAAAGTCTAGTAAAGTGCTTAATGTTTTAAAACGCCAAAATTGTTTTAAAACATGTTTTTTGCCATCCCTAAGTTTGGTAGAGTTATGAATTATATAATCGCAAGTTTTTAATATAAATGACTTAATAAATTATAACGAAATAATTAACTATAACAATTAACTTTCCGAGTTCTCATTTTCAGTTAAAAATAAATATTTTTATTCTATAATTTTACGATTAATTATTTCTTTTGATGAGGTTGAATTCTATATCGACCAGGGTATTTTATTGATACTATTGGATAGAGCTCTGATGGTAAATTATTCCATACTGATACTTCTGGATATTTTGTACCATTGACTGTAAAAGAACAAGTTCTTTTATTCATATCTAAATGAACTGTAATTCTTGCACCATCTTCGTGAAATGACGGACAGTAGTATGTTTCATAATCATAATTACGACAATAACCATTGGTACCTAATACCCATCCAGAAGATTGCCTTCCTGCAGGATTTTCATAATCAAAATTTTTTGATGCACATACTCCAACCCAAGACCAGAAACAAGTTTTTTCAATAATAATATCCCATTCATAAATACCATTATTTTCTAATAACATTTTAGCTCTAACAATTCTCCACGAATTAAGATCATTTGGTGCATATACAACTTTTCCGTTATTCTCAATAATAGCTTTTGATCCACTTCCTAACCTATCCCAAAAAAGTTCAGATTCTTTAAATCTATAAATTGGTATTCCTCGAATATTGTTTAAATCTGAATCAATTAATTCCGAATTATGTTGAATAATTTCAGCTGGAATAACTTTTAATGGTTCAATGAAATCAATTTGTCCTCTTTTTATTCGCCTAAAATCAATATATTCGATCAAAGGCTCCAATTCTTCAGCAACTTTTTGATGATTTACAATAAGTTTATTTTCTACTTGAATCAAGTTATCTATTTGCTCTAAAGTTGGCAACTGTTTCATTAGAGCTTTATATGTATCATCAGAAATTTGCTTTGCTGCAAGAATAGCACTGTAACGAAAAACTTCGTATTCTGGTGTCGCAAAAGGTATTTCTTTTTCGTATGTACAAAATAAAAAATATTGAAGAGCTGTAATAGATAATCGACCAATTTCAATATCATTTAATAAAATAGTTGCTATTTCTTCGATTAATAAATTAAGAAGAATATTATCTTCTGTTAATGGCATTTTCCCCGCAAATTTAGACAGTAGTTCCGGTGAATAATTTCCATTGTTATTTTTTTTTAATGTATTTTTAAAATTTTTCACAATAAAATCCTGAAGATCTGGTAATTGAAAATAGTCGGCAGCATAAAAAGCTTCAATTATATTATCCTTTGTTAAAGATTCATTTTTAATTGATCCCGTATAAATGTATTCTAATATAATTTCCATTCCACAAGAATTGATCGTTGGAAAAGAAATTTTATTTTCATAACTTTCTTTCATCCCATTATAAAGTAATCTATCAAATACTTCGGACCTTGCTGCCAAAATTGCTCTAGAACCATAAAATTTCTTTTCATCGTCACATAAAATTTCTATATCACTATATTTTGGATTATTTATCAATAAACTTAAATCTTTTTCTAATGAATATCCTTTCGTCATTTCTTGGAAATTTTTTTTTTAAAAAAATAAAATTTAATTTAGGGCATTTTGAGAAACCTTATTTATATATAAATTTAAAATTTGTACTATGTTGTACTGTACCACATGTCCAAATAGTTGTGCTTATGATCGACAAGCGTTCACTAAAGCTCATGTGATTTTAACATGTGATTTTGTTATATACGGCGCAGTTGTGGCAACACGACTTTGAAAACGAATTGACGATCAGCTCAGATAACGTTAGCATAAATATATAAAAAAATTTTTCGAAGTTTTAGAAGTTTTACAAAAACAAACTCTACCAGGTGACGTGAACCAAAAAAACAATTTGTGTTTATTTTAATAAATAATAATTAGTTTTTGTAGATTTATGTTAAATTAATTGTTTTAAAAATTTATATAGAATATACTGAAATATTTATTTTTGGAGTTCACTGACGTTTTAGAGTTGCTTAGGGTTGGAGTAAGCATATGTGGGATTAAATTAAGGATTAGTAAGGTTAGTTTAGGTTGAAAGGTTACATTTAGAGTTAACGTTGACATTGGAATTACTTATCCTGTAAAAAATTTTATCCGTAATTTTTGTAAAAACTCCGTGAATATGATAAATTTATAGGTAAATAAATAAAAATCTAAGCAACTTGGATAATTTCCATGTTTTGAGGCTATAAATTCCGTGAATATGATACATTTACGGAGATAACAGAGAATAAAAAACACGGAATAAGTTTTTTGTAGGGTTAGGATTACTGGAACATTTTTTTGATGGTTACGGGTACTAGTTTCGTGTACTGTACGTATAGCATAAAAGATTAAAGTAATTCGTACTAGTACTCGCAAGCAAAATTAAATGATTTATAAACATTATGATGATTTTTAGTTTCGTATGCATTAAATGTGGGAATATTATTTAATGACAAATAGCATTTTTTTTCTTTATGAAAGAATTCTATTCTGGAATAAATATTAAAACGCAATAAATGGAGTGTGACACTGCATAATGAATTGTTTAATAAATTATCTTTTTTAAACAATAATCATATAACATGCCATATTATTTAGCTACAGTATTACTGTATAAATATTTGATATATTTATGCGTTAAGCTCAGACTTGAACATTGATAATCGACCAATTCCAATATCATTTAGTAAAATAGTTGCTGTTTCTTCAACTAATAAATTATAATCTTCTGATAAAAGTATAATTTCTACAGCTTTAGATAATAATTCTTGGAATATGGTTTACTCCGTAATTTTCTTTTAAAATATTTTTTTAAGTTTTTCATTATAAAATCTTTGAAGGTCCGATAATTGAAAATAATCTACAGCATCATAATAAGCTTCAACTATATTATCTTTAGTCAAAGAATTTTCTTTAATTGATACAACATAAAAATATTTTAATATAATTTCCATTCCACTAGAATTGATCGTTAGTAAAGAAATTTGTCTTTCGAAACTCTCTTTCATCCCATTATAAAGTAATCTATAAATACTTCGGATCTTGCTGCTAAAATTGCTCTACAGCCATATAATTTCTTTTCATCTTCACATAAAATTTCTATATCACTGTACTTTGGATTATTTATTAATAATCTTAAATCTTTTTCTAACGAGGTCATTTTAATATTTTTTTTTTTTTTTTTTTTTTTAACTCAATGAGTATATAAATAATAAATATGATGCTGATTTTTTACAAATTTAGGATAGTATTTGGTAAAAAAAGTATTAGCAAAAAATTTCATGCATTTCAATGAATCATTAGTACAGGATGATCTCGTATCAATTAAAAAAAGGAGTCTTCACGTTATTCCAAAAAATATATTTAATCAAACGAATTATAAATCAAATTCCAGATATTTGACTAATCCTAAGTTTTTTAAATTTAAATGCTCATAAATCAATAATAAAAAACTTTGCTTAATTAAATAAAAGTGTAATTCACAATATCATTTCATATTAAATATATTTTTTGTTACGAATTAAATCTCGAGAAAACATGTGGTAATATATATATTTCCATATAATACGGTACATTAATGAGCTTTCAACAACCTACGGAAACATATTTTTTGTATAAATTTTTTTAGTAAAACTGAATTAGAAATATTTATTCGTACGTATTCTCAAGTTGAGTTCTTAAATCTTTTTCATATTGTAACAAAATCGGTTATACTACACAACAAATACGACAAACTAAAGAGAGTATGGTTTCGTAAGTTAAGAGTTAAGACCAATATTTAAATTTGTAAAATCTATTTTTATAATGCAATAAATTATGTATTAAATATTTTATAAGATAACGAATATGTGAACATAGTCCATAAAAACTCATCAATATTATTTATAATAAATTGTTACAGTAGTTTCTTTAAAGGTTCTACAAATTAAAAATTTTTTGAGATTAAGGTACGAGACAAATCTTGATCAGAATCTGTATAATAATTTTAGGTTCGAAGATTGCTTTTATTGCCGAATAAAAAATATAAAGTATTAATAACATATAGTCTTTATATGGCGTGACCATAACCATAAAAGCTTTTTGATATGTTAGAAGTAAATGAAAAAACACGAAATTATCGAAAAAATATTTAAGGAATTTGGGGTAAAAGAGGAGGAAGAAGAAATATTATAATCTACAATATAGATGTATGGATTATGGATAATTATATGAAGAATTGAATTGATTAAACCTAAGTTGGGTGACTCAACTAAAGATTTTGCATATGTAATACGATCAATAAATGTGGAAACCAACAATGCAAGAATTCAAAATTGATGATATTACAAACAATTAATTAATATAATTTAATTAATTTATAATTGGTTCGATTAATTACTCGAACAACGCCACAATTTCATATCCATACAAAAAATATAATCATACAACACTAATTCATAATTAACAAGCCAGAAAATTTTGATAAAATATAAAAGAAATTAAGGATGTAGAAAAACATGAGAAATTAATTTAAAAAAGGGTGTTTATTATTTTTCGCAAGCTTCAAGTATTAACTAAGCTTTCACTAGTAATAAACAACTTGATAACAATTTTTTTCTTTTTTTTTTGTTTTAATATTACTAATTTTTTTTTCTCTTTTTTGCTTCCTTGTTTTTAATTACCAATAAATATATTATTAATCTATATAACTCATTAATATGAAGCTTTGGTTTAAATTACCAATATCAGAAACATTTGGAATCATTGAATTTTTTATAGTTGATCTTAAACAGATTCGTCACGAAACTTTCAAATTCCCCGAGTTCTAATTTATTGTTATAAAAATAATGACTCATAATTTTTTAGTCTTGGTGAGGTTGAATTCGAAAGCGACCAGGACTATATAATGATACTACTGGATAAAGCTTTGATGGTAAATTATTCCATGCTGATACTTCCGAATATTTTGTACCATTAACTGTAAAGGAACAAGTTCTTCTATTCATATCTAAATGAACAGTAATTTTTGCACCATCATTATGAAATGGCGGACAATAATTGTTTAAACTATTTCCAGGATTACAACAAGAACCATTGGAACCTAATACCCATCCAGAAGGTTGCACTCCTGCAAATTCTCCATAGTTAAAATTTTCTGATGCACATACTCCAACCCAAGACCAGACACAAACTTTCTCAATAATAACATCCCATTCAAAAATACCATTATTTTCTAATGACATTTTAGCTCTAACACTTTTCCATGGCCCAAGGCCATTTGGTGCGTATACAACTTTTCCATTATCCTCAATGATAAGTCTTGATCCGCATGATGTCTCATCCCAAACATAACTGGAGCAATTTGATATGGAAATTCCTCTAATGTGATTTATATTAGAATTAATTGATTTTGTATTATGCCGATAAACGTTTAAAATTATTTTAGCTGGAACAATTTCTAGTGGCTCAATGATGTCAACTAATACTTGACCTTGAATTCGTCTGAAATTAATAAATTCAATTAAAGGCTCCAATTCCTTTGCAACTTTTTGATGATCGGTAATAGGTTCACTTTCTACTTGAATTGAATTCTCTATTTGGTCTAAGGTTGGCAATCGTTTTAAAAGAGTGTTAAATGCATCATTAGAAACTTGTTTTGCTGCAAGAATAGAACTATATCTAAAAAGTTCATATTCTGGGGTTACAAAAGGTTTTTCTTTTTCAAATGTACAAGATAAAAGATATTGAAGGCCCGTAATAGATAATCGACCAAATTCAATTGTATTTTATGGGATAGTAGCTACTGCTTCAACCAATAAATTTAGAAAAATATTATCTTCTGTTAATGGCATTTTTCCTGCAAATTTAGATAATAGCTCTGGTGAATAATTTTCTAAATGATTTTTTTTTAACATATTTTTAAAAACTTTCATAATAAAATCCTGAAGGTCTGGTAATTGAAAATAGTCAGCAGCGTAAAAAGCTTCAATTATATTATCCTTTGTTAAAGATTCATTTTTAATTGACCCCGTATAAGTATATTCTAATACAATCTCCATTCCAGTAGAATTAATTTTTGGAAAAGAAATTTGGGTTTCATAACTTTCTTTCATTCCATTGTAAAGTAATCTATCGAATACTTCGGATCTTGCTGCTAAAATTGCTCTACAACCATATAATTTCTTTTCATCCTCACATAAAATTTCTATATCACTATATTTTGGATTATTTATTAATAATCTTAAATCTTTTTCTAATGAATATCCTCTCGTCATTTTTCTTGGAAAAAATTTTTCTAAAAAAAGAAAAATTTTTTTTTTGGAACATTATTTAAATATATAAATTTAGTTTTGTACTATTTTGTACTGTACACTCATTGAAAAATGTTTCCATTTTTGCATTTTTAGCTACGCCTAACGATCGACAATCGTTACACTTTATCTCATTATAAGGTTATAAGGTAATCCGTACTCGCAAGCAAAATTAAACGATTTCAGTTATAGACATTACAATGATTTTTAGTTTTTGCATACATTAAATGCAGGTACTATATTGATTAATAATGAGTAATGACAAATAGCATTTTTTTTTTATCTTGGAATAAGACGCAATAATGAAACATAGAATGACGTAATAAATCACCAATAATTTTTTTTATTTTTATATTAAAATTTCAAATTATTATATATTTAAATATGATCCATTACAAATAAGTCTTAATTTTTAATTTATCATTATAAAAATAATGATACAAAAAAAAAAAAAAAAAAAAAAAAAAAATTTCTCAATATTTCTTCAATTAAGCATATTTTTAGGAGCTTGAATGTGAATTCGGCCGTTATAACGTAAAGATACTGGTATTTGATAATGCTCGATAATATCAATTAATACTTGATTGACCTTTATATTTGAGTAGTAAGTTTTATTTGAAAGTCGCAAAGAGAATGATTTTATAGTGCACGAATTGTTTTTGCTGACCAGACCAATAAATTTAAGAATTTTTAAGAATATTATCTTCTGATAAATCACAACTTTAGATGTCTGACTATATCACTATAAAGTAATTTCATAATAAAAGTGTATAAATTTTCAATATCCCACAACATTATTGTTTATATTAAGGATTCTTCTTGATTGGACAAATATATAAAGGTAAATTCTAGTATAATTTTCAATAAATTATTAGAAAGAAAAAATTCGTTTACATAACTTTCTTTCATTCCGTTACAACTAATCTTGCTTAATTGTATTACTAGATTTCTTAACATTAATTCTTGCATAATTTTTATATTACCTTAATTTTGGCTATAATCATTCTATTTTATGTAGTTTAATTAAAAAATGAACTTTAACAATATTACTTAAAACTATTGTCTAATTAAATGATTCAGCAATTTTAAAACTGTATCCATTTAATTTAGAAAATTAAAAATTCTTATATTTTAATGTTAAAAAATAAAAAATTTATTAATTGAAATATAATAATTTAACACCCTAACCAATCATGATTCGTAGTTTATTCTGGACAGACTACAACAAAGTTTTTAAAGAACATGGATGATTTAGCAGGATTCTGAATGGATCAAGAACAATCATTGCAATTACTTCAATCAATTCCAGGATTTTTTTTACTTTATACTATTTAATAATAATTATATTATAAGTGCGTGGACTAATTTAAGAAAACGAAAAAAACATGAACACTAAATTACGACTTTTTTTCATGTTAATAATTTGAACCACGAATTGAAATCTTTTATTTATATATGTAAAATAACATCAAATGATTTTTTACAATCAAATTCATCACGAAATCGACCAGGGTATTTTAATGATACTACTGGATAAAGCTTTGATGGTAAATTATTCCATGCTGATACTTCCGAATATTTTGTACCATTGACTGTAAAGGAACAAGTTCTTCTATTAATATCTAAATGAACAGTAATTTTTGCACCATCATAATGAAATGGCGGACAATAATTGTTTAAACTATTTCCAGGATTACAACAAGAACCATTGGAACCTAATACCCATCCAGAAAATTGCGTTCCTGCAACTTCTCCATAGTTAAAATTTTCTGATGCACATACTCCAACCCAAGACCATGTACAAACTTTCTCAATAATAACATCCCATTCATAAATACCAATATTTTCTAATAACATTTTAGCTCTAACACTTCTCCATTGACCATTTGGTGCGTATACAACTTTTCCATTATCCTCAATAATAAGTTCTGGTCCACATGCTGACTCATCCCAAACATAATTGGTACAATTATTTATGGATATTCCTCGAAAATGGTTTATATCGGAATTAATTGATTTTGTATTATGTCGATAAATATTTAAAATGATTTTAGCCGGGACAATTTCTAGTGGCTCGATGATATCAACTAATACTTGACCTTGGATTCGTCTGAAATTAATAAATTCAACTAAAAGCTCCAATTCTTTAGCAACTTTTTTATGATCAGGAATAAATTTATTTTCTACTCGTACAGAGTTTTCCATTTGTTCTATTTGTTTTAGAGTTGGTAATCGTTCCATAAGAGTTTTATATGTATCATTAGAAACTTGTTTTGCCGCAAGGATAGCACTATATCGGAAAACTTCGTATTCTGGAGTTGCAAAAGGCTTTTCTTTTTCATATGTACAAGACAAAAGATATTGAAAGCCTGTAATAGACAATCGACCGAATTCAATGGTATTTAGTGGAATAGTAGCAACTGCTTCAACTAACGAACATAAGAGAATATTGTCTTCCGTTAATGGCATTTTCCCCGCAAATTTAGACAGTAGTTCCGGTGAATAATTTCTATTGTTATTTTTTTCTAGTGTATTTTTAAAATTTTTCACAATAAAATCCTGAAGGTCTGGTAATTGAAAATAGTCAGCAGCATAAAAAGCTTCAATTATATTATCCTTTGTTAAAGATTCATTTTTAATTGACCCCGTATAAATGTATTCTAATATAATTTCCATTCCACAAGAATTGATCTTTGGAAAAGAAATTTTATTTTCATAACTTTCTTTCATCCCATTATAAAGTAATCTATCAAATACTTCGGATCTTGCTGCTAAAATTGCTCTAGAACCATTTCATCGTCACATAAAATTTCTATATCACTATATTTTGGATTATTTATCAATAGGCTTAAATCTTTTTCTAATGAATATCCTTTCGTCATTTCTTGGAAAATTTTTTTTTTTAAAAAAAATAAATTTAAATTAAGGGCTTTTTGAGAAACCTTATTTATATATAAATTTAAAATCTGTACTATGTTGTACTGTACTACATATTGCCAAATCAATATTTCATTTTAACTGTGCTTATAATCGGCAATCGTTTGTGATTTAGCATGTGATTTTGTTATATACGGCGCAGTTGTGGCAACACCAAAATTATACGACTTTGAAAACGAATTGACGACGTTAATATGAATATACAAAAAATTTTTTCGAAGTTTTATAAAAACTGACTCTATCAGGTGACGTGAACTAAAAAGTCAAATTTGTGTAGCCTTACACTTTATTTTAATAAAATAATAATTAGTTTCTGTAAATTTATTTTAATTAATTGTTTTAAAAATCTATGTAGACGATACTGAAATATTTATTTTTGGAGTTAACCCTGAGTTGCTTAGGGTTGGAATGGGATTAGAGTAAGGATTATTAAGGTTAGATTAGGTTGAAAGGTTACATTTAGAGTTAACGTTGGCATTGGATGCTTATCCTGTAAATTTATCGGAGTTTTTCCAGAATTTTTTTATAGGGAGTACTTCGAACCTTGCAGCTAAAGTCATTCTACAACCTTATATTTCTTTTTATTTTCAATTTTGTTAATAACCTTAAATCATTTTCTAATGAATTTCACTTCATTATTTTAAATTTCTTTAGCAGGAAAGAAGGAACTTGTAGTTTATTTGTGATTCTATTTCAATTTTAGCAATTAGACAAATTAACTAATGGTTAATAACTATAAAAAATATATGGATGTTATTTAAGTATTTCTTTTTTACAGTACGTAATTTACTTAATTAGTAGTATATGTAATCGAACCAAAAATGGCTAGTCATTTAACAAAAATCTTTTCATTAAATAATAGATGAATAAAAAAATATTTTGATCAGCGTGGCTCAAAATTTTATGAAAGATTTATTTAACCAAGCTGCTATTAATTCCGATTTAGCATATTCAAAATATTTTGTTAGTACAGAAACACTAATCTGATATATAGTTCAACATCATATTTATAATGCTCAGGTAAGCTTGATAGAGTTATGCAAGCTTTAAGCAGTTTTAACATAAATAACTTTAATAAATTATAACATCTTTTATACTTGAGTATATTAACCATTATTTTTTCGAATTAACTTTCCGAGTTCTCATTTTCAGTTAAAATAGATATTTTTATTTTATAATTTTACGATTAATTATTTCTTTTGATGAGGCTGAATTCTATATTGACCAGGGTATTTTATTGATACTATTGGATAGAGCTTTGATGGTAAATTATTCCATGCTGATACTTTTGGATATTTTGTACCATTGACTGTAAAAGAACAAGTTCTTTTATTCATATCTAAATGAACTGTAATTCTTGCACCATCTTCGTGAAATGACGGACAGTAGTATGTTTCATAATCATAATTACGACAATAACCATTGGTACCTAATACCCATCCAGAAGATTGCCTTCCTGCAGGATTTTCATAATCAAAATTTTTTGATGCACATACTCCAACCCAAGACCAGAAACAAGTTTTTTCAATAATAATATCCCATTCATAAATACCATTATTTTCTAATAACATTTTAGCTCTAACAATTCTCCACGAATTAAGATCATTTGGTGCATATACAACTTTTCCGTTATTCTCAATAATAGCTTTTGATCCACTTCCTAACCTATCCCAAAAAAGTTCAGATTCTTTAAATCTATAAATTGGTATTCCTCGAATATTGTTTAAATCTGAATCAATTAATTCCGAATTATGTTGAATAATTTCAGCTGGAATAACTTTTAATGGTTCAATGAAATCAATTTGTCCTCTTTTTATTCGCCTAAAATCAATATATTCGATCAAAGGCTCCAATTCTTCAGCAACTTTTTGATGATTTACAATAAGTTTATTTTCTACTTGAATCAAGTTATCTATTTGCTCTAAAGTTGGCAACTGTTTCATTAGAGCTTTATATGTATCATCAGAAATTTGCTTTGCTGCAAGAATAGCACTGTAACGAAAAACTTCGTATTCTGGTGTCGCAAAAGGTATTTCTTTTTCGTATGTACAAAATAAAAAATATTGAAGAGCTGTAATAGATAATCGACCAATTTCAATATCATTTAATAAAATAGTTGCTATTTCTTCGATTAATAAATTAAGAAGAATATTATCTTCTGTTAATGGCATTTTCCCCGCAAATTTAGACAGTAGTTCCGGTGAATAATTTCCATTGTTATTTTTTTTTAATGTATTTTTAAAATTTTTCACAATAAAATCCTGAAGATCTGGTAATTGAAAATAGTCGGCAGCATAAAAAGCTTCAATTATATTATCCTTTGTTAAAGATTCATTTTTAATTGATCCCGTATAAATGTATTCTAATATAATTTCCATTCCACAAGAATTGATCGTTGGAAAAGAAATTTTATTTTCATAACTTTCTTTCATCCCATTATAAAGTAATCTATCAAATACTTCGGACCTTGCTGCTAAAATTGCTCTAGAACCATAAAATTTCTTTTCATTGTCACATAAAATTTCTATATCACTATATTTTGGATTATTTATTAATAATCTTAAATCTTTTTCTAATGAAAATCCTCTTGTCATTTTTTAAGAATTTTTTTTAAAAAAAATATAACTATTTAGTTGGGGAAACCTTATTTTAAGGCTTTTTAAAGCTTTTGTACGATTTGTATTACGTCGTACTGCATATTTGAAAAAATATTTTCCTTATTAGCTGCGCCTTATGATTGACAAGTACGTATAAGGGAAAGCTCGTCACTATAAAGTAATCCGTACTAGTTTTCGTAAGCAAATTAAACGATTTGTAAACATCATTAAGATTTTTAGTTTTCTCAAGTATTAAATACAAGGTGTATATATGCATTTTTTTCTTGCAACGTAATTAAATTGGCATATAGAGTAAAATGCCGAAATGCTTGTGGCATACTTCTTGATTGTACATGTCATGTTCAATTTTCTCATAATCGTTGATCATGAGATTTTTTTTAATATAAAATTGTTATTTGCTGTTATCTTTTTTTAATATTAATTCCGCCTTATTTATGTAAATTAAATTATAAATAAAATAAACATCAAACAATCAGTTATTTATCGCCTTCATGAAATCAAGTAAACAAATAACGATTAATAATTACTTAAACTTTTACAATATTGAAATTTATTTTTATTTTTTTTAGTAACATATGAATGATTATTAGTTAAAAAAGACTTATTTTTAAATCATTGTTAGTATAAATGACTGTAACAGATAATATTTATTGTTAGAAAAGGAAATCACTTATCATTTTTAACCTTTTTCTCGTAATAAAAAAGTTCAAAAAATTTTAAATCGATAATCAATCGTTTCCTATTTTGATTTATCATTTTCTTTTTTTGTAAAAAAAAAAAAAATGTATTATAAAATAAAAAATTGTTCTTTTTGTCAAAAGGAAATTCTCAATGTTTCACTTTTAATTATTTTGGAAAAAGATACGCACATAATCAGGATGAGAAGGATGAGTGTAACGAAGATTTAAATGAAGATGATGAGCCTAATAGTAATACGGATGATCCTATATATTCGTGAGCTTTTTTCAAAGTTTTCAAGTTGAAATAACATTATTCAGCTGGTATTCGTCAGATGTTTATATTAAATGTGGAGACTTGGATATCAATAGAACAGTAAAAGATGAGCATCTATGTTGCAATGGTTGTTGGCGAAAATACCATTTCAAAAAAATGTTTAAAGTGGAGATATCGAGATCAGGGTGGTAAAGATAAGGGAAAGCGTACAAGAATTTAAATTTTATTTTGAATTGTCAATTTTATTTACAAATATATATGTGCATTAAACATTTTTAACAATAAAATGTTTTAACAGTTATAAAAATAATTTTTTTTTTTAAAAAAAAAAGAACGTGGCTAGAGGTTGGAACCGGTTAAAGTTAACCGGTTAAAACTATTTTGACCATAAATCCATAATTCCGGTCAGATTTACTTAATGCGGCCCAGAGACTTGGTAATTTCAGTCATGTGTTCCCAAACTCGAAGTTTTAATACCGAATTTTTTCCTGTACGAACTGGCCGGAGTTAACGTTATTGCTATCACGTGCAAGTGCATAACTTCTAAAATCCGGCCAGTTCGTACGTTAATATCGTACACCCCACTGTACGTTAAAAACGCCCTTATTAATAATGGTATTGACGAAAAAATAATCTTCTTTATTAGTAAAATCAAAAATCAGTACAATTTTCAGCAAAAAAATTTTAAATATTTTGCATATTAACCGGTTAATTAACCGGTTAAGCCTTTGGTTCCAACCTCTAAACGTGGTCAGGTCATATAATCTAATCTCAGATATCAGGTATGAAGACTAATTTTTTATTTTGTATCGCTAATATCTAAAGAAAAAATTTTTTTGGATAACTTTTAATCGGATATTTATCCAGATAAGAACCGTAATATCAAAAAAAAAAGGATCGAAGCACTAGCTCTTCTTGCTGCACTAGTCAGAAGGTATCAAAGGATTACTTTGATTGATATTTTATTTCCCTTTCCCTTTCCCTTTCCTCTTTTTCATCCTTTCTCCTCTTTCATCCTTTTCCCGCCTTTTCCCCCCCTCTCTCTCGTCCTTAATACCAAAAAAAAATTTGTTTTGAATACAAATAAATGAAATAATATTCAAACTTACTAATATAAGAATTTTTTACAAAAAAGTAAATATGCTACAACATTGTCAATACTATACAATATACTATACTGTTCATAAGTTTTTTGGTATATTATTAAATTTTATACATATTTCATTAAATAAATTATGAATATCATCACTCATTTTTTTTATTTCATTAATTCTTTTATCAACTTCTTTTAAAAAATTTTCTTGAGAATTTTTTTCTTCCATTATTTCTGATAATTCTATAATAGAGTCAATAGAATCAGTAGAATCGGTAGAAACTTCTTTCTTTTTACCTTTAATATTATCAGATGAATTATTATTATCATCATCAAATTTCCAAATTGAAGTTTCATCAAAATCAACATCTTTAAAAGTTTGAGTAATAATTGTAGATTTTTCCTCAAAATCTTTATAAATTTCACCTTGATCATCTTTTCTTTTTTGATACCATTCTTGAAAATTTTTAGATTGTCCAATATAATAAATATATTTTGGTTCAGGTTCATTAGGCCAAAAATGAAAATGTTCTAATGCTTCATAATCTGCTATTTGATTTGCTCTAAATCTTAATAAAGATTGTCTTCCATTAGTTTCTGCTCTTTCATAAACTCCACTAAAATAAAATAAATAAATAATATTAATAAATAAAATAGTATTTATAAATTAATAATACTAATAATAATAATTTACCCCATGAAAGCAATCAACATATTTTGCAAAACAGTTACAATAAAAATACTAGCAATTAAAGTAAATAAATCAATAACCCAAAAGTCAAAATGATCTCTTTGAACCATATCACCATTCAACCAAAAATATGCAGCCATTATTGCCGTAGAAAAGGATGAAAATGGATTATCATTCTTATCTTTAACATCATAATCAGATTCAAGTTTAATATTAAATAATGTTTCATCATCATTTATTATACTTGTAGCAGTTCCACTTAATGTATCCAATTTTACATTAATTTTAGGATTATTAGGGTCCTTAAGTAAAATAAACCTAGATATAAATAAAAATTGTTATCAATTAAATTAAAATAAATATGATATCAAAAAAAAAAAAAAATTGAAATGATTATACATTGTGTGCGCAAATCCAATTGTTACAATGAACATAAACAAAATAAATGGGAATATGTTTTTGATGATATATATAACATAATAAATATATTTGGCTATTTCTAATAGATTAAAAATAAAAATAAAAAATAATGAATTATTAATTGATAATAATGAACTTTTTTAAAATAAAGTTGAATTTTATATTTACTTGATATTAAGCGGAGATATAAAACCTAAATTATTAAAAATCACATGTTAATATTATATTATATTTAAAAGAAAAAAAAAATTGTAAAACAAAACCTTACAAATTCGATCCAAAGGAAGAAAATAGAGAATGATGTCCCCACCATCAATCCCATATCAATTGATTTAACACTTGCAAAGCCATCAGAAAATTCAAAATCTCGAAGCATTATTGACATTACTATCACGGGAAGTAAAATGGAACATATGTCAAAACTATTAAATATATCACCAAAATATTTTCTAGGTCCGTGAAAATACAACTGTATTAATTCAGTAATGAATAAATATGCTGCTAAATAATAAAATATGAAAATTAATGCAACTAAAAAATTTCGAAATTTCCAACTTATAACTTCATGATTTAAATATTCCCAGCTAATAATTATGAAACAAAAGGCAAAAACAAGAAATCGAAGAAAAAGGAAGAAAAAGAAATTTCTCGCTTGTTGCCAACGAAAATCAATAACCGCTTCGGTTGCTGGATTGTCATACATATCATCATCATTCTCATATCGCACCACCCTAGAAAAAGGGCTTAACAGTTTCTTTTTATCTCGACTAATTTGGTACCATCGTGGTATAAATAAGAACAAAAAAATATTTAAAACAATTTTTAATCTATAATTGTGTTCTATATTTTTCTGAGGAATTCTGTTCATGGTAAATTCTGGAAGAGGAACAACTCTTAAAGCTAAAGGCGACTTCTCAAGGTAATTATCAAAATCTTCAAGAAATTTGTACGTTTTTTTAAAAGGATCAAATAATTTTCCAATTCTATTATACCATTTATACTCGTCGGACTGCAGTTTGTCTATTCTAAATGCCCTAAATTTAATGTTATTGTTACGTTTCGCTTGGTATTCTATTGGAATAATATTATAAGGATCTTGTGCTGAAAAATAATCTTGATTCGCAAAACATTCTTTACGAAATAGCTTTCTGGCATAATCATCTGTGTTATAAAATAAAATTGTAAATATCATAGATCCTATTGAAGTGTTGAATGAAAAATAAAAACGAACCGTAGTTATATTTAAATAATAATGGTAATGCCTTAGACACAGTACTCATCCAACCAGCATAATCTGTTGCATGACTAGAATAATATTCCAAGAGATAAGCGACAACAACAGTATCTTTAAGTTCACGACCTATAGGTAAAATTAAATTATTAATCAATGATATAAATTATAAACCTACGCCATAAGTTTCATTTACCTTTGTAACGATAAATTGCTAATTCCATATCATTTTTTGGCCTTTCATCATTATCTTCTAGTCCTAGACCATTATTATCAAATCGGAGGTCATCATCACTTATAAAATTTTTTCCTGGCCACGACACACTCCTTGGTATATGTCTGATTACGAATTCCTCTTTATTTTCATTTTCATCATCCTTATTACTTTTGTCTCCAAATAAAATAAGTTTTATTAAATGATTGCAATCACCAAGAATTAATTTTTTCATGACGTTATGTCGAACGTCTAACAATTTAAATTCCTCAGGTTTAAATTTAGCAAACCTCCAGACTATATGCTGAATATACATTATCATTTCCTCATGCTTTTAATTAAAAAGAAATTTTAATTAACTTCCATTTTTCCTAAAAAAAAGTTTAAACAATGAATATAATCAACCTACTTGATGTATTTTAATGTAATTAGTCACGAGAAAACTTCTGCGCTTATTAAGATGTTCCAATGCTTTACAAGCGCGTCTTACCGCACCAACTTTTTCAATAATATCTTTCCGTTGAATTACTTTTTCCTTCATTTCCATAATAATTTCATTCTTCTCCATAATTTCATCCTCCATAATTTCATCCTCATCCTTTTCCATAATTTCATCCTTTCTTCTCTCTTTTCTATTACGTTCCATTTTTTTTATTTCTTCTTCCTCAATTTCTCTAATTTCTTCTTCTGTTTTCCCTTTGTAATTTACATTTGAAGCTCTTTCATACCAATAAACTTTCAAAAAAAAATCATCTGGTATATGGCTTGATCCATCATTTGGTTTATATTTGAACTCTCCAATTCTTAATCTTGTTGATTTCCTTTCTTGATTTATCGGAATACCATTCGCCCATATATATTCAAGAAATGGACCTCCTTTGTTAGGAAGTTTAGAAAGTTCACCTTTAGACTTACTATCATCACGGACTTGATGCCAAATTTGAACCGTGGATCTGCCAACTATAAGTTGTAAAGTTTGTATTCTTGTATTTTCTTTCTTTTGATAAAGACAATAAGAATTTCTTTCATACTCATCCATCACCCAAGGTTCTTTATCAATAACTATCGGTTCAAATCCTTTATCATAATGTATCGTATGTTTTTCATCCGCTTTTCCATCCGGGGTTTCACCTAATTTTGAATGTGTATATTTTTCAAAAATTCCTTTTGAATCTTTTGGTGTATTTTTATTTAATTTATTTTCGATTTTTTTAAGAACTGATATAACCTTTCCAACTTCATCAACGTGTAAAATATTTCCTGAAGTTCTAGCCAAACGATTGCCAAGATCTGCGATAGAAAAATTTTCTAATGTTATCGGTGTGGCCTCTACAGTATTATAGATATCCCAGATCACAAGCTTCACCTGATTCTTTTTCTCACCCATTATAAGTAATTTTTCATCACTATCAATGAATTCTAGCGAATGAATTTTTTCTATTTCACCAAATTTTTTTGATACGACCTCCAGACCATTCTCCATTAAGTACAATCTAATAGATAATTTGATTCGAATAAAAAAAATGATAAATGAATAAGTAATGACAAAATCGAACAATTCAAAACAAACTTACTTCACAGAATTAATTCCTCGAGTAAAACAAATTTGTAGTTTACTGACTGAAAAAGTATTGCGATTAAACTTTCTACCGTGCTTATCTTTTTCGACTCTTTTTGGAGTAGTTTTTAAGCTCATGTCTGCCAGATCATAAACTATAATTTTTTGTTAATATAAATTCAAAATATGTTATAATAAAATAAATAATATTAATTATGTATGATATTTTACCTTCAAGCGCCTGTACATTATTCTTATATTGTTCGACCAAGAAATATTGATCATAAAGACATGCAAGAAGCTTATCCATACAATCTTCCAAATTTTCTTTATGCCAATGTTGTAATTCATTTTCAATACTTTTTGGATAATCAAATCTTGTATTTAAATCAAGATTTCTATAATCAAAATCATACTCAAAATTATATATTCCATTAAAGTTCAATACTACAAATCTTTTTAAAGTATAATTATTTTGATCGATATCGCGATCATCAAAATTTTGTATAAATTTACATATTCCTGAAACGCTACCAGAATAATAATAAGTTACGGGACACAAATCAAGAATAAAGTTGTTATTTTCCTTTATTAGCTTAAGACGGTAAACTGCTGTTCCTTTTTTAGTTTCATTTGATTTACTATAGTATGATGTTCCTGACAGATCAAGTCTAAAATCTTCATTAATTCTTTCATATCTTTTTTTTATAGTGTTTTTCTTATAATCAAAATTTGTATCAGTATTCACTTTTCCTTTCATATCCTCACTAACATCTATGCGGGATACAGCAATAAAGATAAAATATTTGTCTTGATAATAATTTTGTATATTTGATATATCTAAACCCCATCTATATCTTTTGTCCGTATCATCATTAACGTCAATTCCAGTTTCTCGATTAGTGCATAGAGTATCATATTGGTCATAGAACTTGGCAATATCCAAATTTTCGTTTATTTTGAAATAAGCGATTGTTTTAGTAATTTCTTCTTCACCCTGATCGTTCTGATTGTTTGTATTATGTTCTGAAGTAGTCGTTTTTTTAGATAATCCGAATTGACGATGATCTGTATTATCTAATACTCTAATCCGAAGGTTTGCTTTTTTTTTAAAAAAAAAAGAAAAAAGGAGTTACTTTAATTAAAGGAGAGGGGTCTAAAGTTCAAGGCTGCTTTGTGTTACTCCATTAATAATATAATAAACAAACATTACACAATTTATAAATTTTCAAATGAATTTTTTACCTGTATCAAATGTTACAGCAAGTTTACCATCCTGACAAATCTCGATTTGATAACGTTCCTTTTTGGAAAGAGGATCATTTTTGGCACATGATAACATATCACTTTGATCATCTCTGGGACTTAAGAAGGTCAGATTATTTCTAAAACTACTGCGTTTATTCTTCCTTCTTCGATAATTTAATTTATTAATAATTTTATTATTAGGTAAAGACATCCTTTTAATTATAAATTTGTCTTTTTTATTTTTTTTATTTTATTTTATTTTATTTTTTTTTCGAAATTTATTTATTTATTTATTTATTTAATTTTACCAAAAAAAAAAAAACAAAAAAAAACAAAGAAAACCTTATTTCAAAACTTGTGTAGCCACCAGTTTGTATAACCATACAATTTGTAACGTTGGGACAAGAATCTTTTACATTGCCACGAATGAATTCATTTCTCGTTTTTATAATAAAGACTTATTAATTCATGTAATACAACAACAGATTTCTAAAATTTAAAAACCTGTCCTAAAAAAAACGGCAATCCATTCAGAAAAAATTAGCGAATTATTGAAACTTTTTATCAAATGGTATGTTTAATTTGATCTACCACATATTTGGTTTAAAGCAGATACTATTCTAAATATAGATTTCGTTTGACAGCATAAATCATGCTCGAACTTTTATGGTTAAAAAGTTTTTTTTTTTTACATATAAAAATTATTTTGATTATCAATTTAATAAACAATTTTTTAAATTTGCGGTTGTCGCTTCTTCATACACATCACTAAAAGTCCTATTAAAATAACTTTCTATTACATTCAAATATTAGTTAATAAAGTCGGATTCACTCTTATTGTTAAAATATGGACATTTCTTATGAAGCAGGTATATTTAATTATATCACATGTAATTTTAAAAAAGTCAATAGCTGCGGTGACACAGAATCTCAAATCAGAAGTCACAATAATAAAAATTAAATATTACATTCTTGATTTACGTAACTGTTAGGTGAAGTAACCATATATATATGAAGGTTGTTACATGATGGTGATTATAATGCAGATTACATGCATATGCATTATGCAATATACTGCAAAAGTTCATTAGAACGAAACTTTTTATTTGAAAGATCAAAAATAGTTAACATATTATTTTGTTGGTATGTGTCCTCTACTGTATTAATGAGGCTGAAACTAAGATCGACATCAAAAAAAAATTCCTGCATTATTGATTGTTCTTTTTTTTTAAAAAAATAAGGCACAGTATGGAAAAAAAGCAAATAAACCGCCCATTTTATCAATTATTCTTTTTGATTTGTTACACATTATGTAATAATTTCAGATTCTGCTTTTTCATGCAATAACAATAACTGTAATGGAAAATTTTTTTTCCGATGATCATTATTTTCAGTATATATTACAAATCGAAAGAATTTAGAAGCGAGACCCGAGAAGAATGCTTAATATAATTAGCAAATTATACCGATTTGAATTATTCAAATTTCTTTTTTATTTTATATTTAGTTGTAATCTTGTTATTACTACAAATTCAAATTAAAAATTTACTTATTCTTCAATACAAACTAGGATAGCATACAACTATCTTAAAAGAAAAAATAAAACTTGAAGATAAAACATTACTTTAATAAAAACCTACTATTCATGCATGTACTATTAATGAAATACTGATAATTTTAAACTTGAAAGCAATTTTGATAGGTTATAACTATTAACTAAACTAAGTTAGGCTAAGAAACAATGATAAAAAAAAAGTCAACATATAATTTTAATTCTTAATTCTTTATACAATATTATTATTATTTCGGTAAATCGGAAATCACGTGATTCACTGCAAACGATTTCCCAGCTCCTATCCATTCTTCTAGTTTGGCCAATGAATAATAAAAGTCAGCAAAACCAAAAGTAATTCCTTTTTCCAGATTTTGCAACGTACAGTACCTTGAAGAAATCTTGTATTAACTTACTCACTCAAATTATTTTCACATTCACTACGGTATTTTTCGAAAATCTCTTCCAGATCGACATTGTCTACTATCAGTTCTGTTCTTTCAAATTCTAATCTCTCAATCATCGGTTCTGCCGAGTTAAATTCAAGTGATTGTATCAGCAACGTAGTGAAAGTGTAGCACAAACCATTTATTTGCAAAATACTAGTACTAGATATAGCATCTTTTTCATCTTGAGGCTGATATGGATTTTTCTTCATTTGATTCATGTCTAGATATAGCAAAAAGAGTCATATTCAGAAAGGAAGAATCTTGAAAGATTCTTGTTGATGCAAAAAGAAAAACAACCTTTTACATCAAGTAATCGGAACATATACTAACAGATAAGTAATTCCTTAAACAACGTTAAAAACGTGCATTTACAGGCTTTACTAACTTTGAGATCATTTTCCAGGAATTCAGAAGGATACCGGGTACCGTCCAGCCGGGACCCAGAAGTTCTTTTGCTTGCTGAGCATCATGGTCTTCCATCATTACACGTCACTTTAGGTCTTTTTTAATATAGTCGAGAATGCGACAAACGTTGTCTTCGTAATAACAATAGTGTGATACAATTGTGTCCAAGCTGTCCAAGCTCCAGTATTCTGCGGGTGTTTCAAAGAAAGTAATCCCTATAAAAAAATTGGATACGTTTTTTATAAAGTTTTTATACGATTTTTTTTCCTTAGAAATAACGTATCATAATAGGATACGGAAAAATGCACAATTCCGTATCACCAAAAATATGGTTTGGATACGGAATTTGCACGGGATTTATATGGAATTTACATGATTTGATCACTGATTTTATCACGTAATTTATACGATTTGGTCACTGAATTTACTATTTGTATTACAGTTTACTATAATTGTATTTACATAAATCTAATTTCACTTTATTAAATTAAATAAAAAATAAAAAAT